CATTTGTGATATCATCAGTTAGTTTCTGGGTAATTTTACCAATTTATTATTACTGCGTTGCATCCCTAAGTGTAATTTATATTATATGCTTTTATGAACCTAACTACCCAACTATTGTTCCTTAAATGTTGATGACTTTACAAGTTTTTATTTTACTACAGCATAAAAAAAAAAGAGGCGAGTGTTTAGGGATTCTTAACAGTGAGAGTGTCAAACTCCCTGATACAACCTTACATCCTTTCTGATAGAAACCCGCATGCCAAGGGCTAAGTGGGTAAAGAGCCATCGCTCCATCACAGAGATGATGACCCTGAAAGTACAAGATTGCCTCCTGTGACAAAAGTGTTTTGCCAGGCTTAGGTTTTTTTATATTTTTTTGCCAAAGTTGTCTTGGAAACAGCTTTGTTTATTTAGTTATTCATTCATTTATATATATATATATATATATATATATATAATACAGTACTAGCAATTCCTTGCCCCGCGGAAGCATGCATAATATATAACCTATACTGTGCTATATTCATAAAGAGTAAAAATGTAGAAAAAAGTAAATCTTCTACTGCCTCTAGGAAACATGCATAATATATAACCTTCACCCTGCTGTATGTATAACGGAGTGAAAATACAGCAACAGTAATTCCTTCAATGCCCCAAGGAAACATGCATGGTATAACACCTTTACCCTGTCGTACGTGTGACAGAGCAATAATTCATTTTTAGTTATATCTCTTATGCTCAGGCAAAACAAGAACACTAGATAACTTCCAATGTATACAAAAAAGTGCATAACGAAGCAAATTAATCTAATCTATTGCACAGTTTAGGTAAAACGTAGCGCACCTCAGGCTGCAACTGAAACATTCTTTAATAAATTGGCAGATCATGCATTTAGCAAGATGGAAGCAAAACTTGTCATACTTTACTTGTTGTCTATAGTATTGCACCACCTAAACATATGAATGGTGCAATACTATTTCAAATCTATTGGTTATTTTACTTTGTACTATATAACACATGGAACCATCTTTGGAATATGATTTGAGTGACTTGAGACACAAACTAAATGTAAATACAAATATGGCATATTTTAACAATGGGAGTGGATGTGTACAATTCTCTTCTAAGTTATATTCTTTATTTAGTACCTTGTATTCCTACCTTTGTATCTATTTTGGCTTGTAAAAGAGTTATAGGAACACTATAGCTTCAGGAACACAAACGTGCATTCCTGACACTATAGTGTTAAACTAACTATTTAGGTCCACTTAGAGAAAAGGTGATTTTACTTAACTTTTCTCCCACACCGCGCCAGTCTGACCACAGGTGGCCTGGTCTGGCTCACTTCCATGGCTGAGACAATCCACTGCTTACCCATAGGAAAGCATTGAGAGTCTCCGTCAATCAACATCCCCACAATGTATCACTGCATCTAACTGAGGAGCTTTCAGCATCTCCATGTAAAGTGTGAAGAGGCTGAAAGCCAGTGTTGCACACTGTGCATTACTGGACTAGGAAGCACATCTAGTTTGTGTCTGAGTGACAGCCACTAGAGGTGTTAATAGGCAGCAATGTAAACTCTGAAAATTGAGTGTTTACATTGAAAAGCCTGCATGGACAGGCTATTGACATCAAAATCACTACAATAAGCTGTAGTGGGTCTAGTGACTAAGGTGTCCCTTTAATTATAAATAATACTTAGTAACAAGTTATAACACTATATAGTCAATGCTTGCAAATAAACTAGTCAAAACAGAAAAAAGCATGCTTAATAAATAATTGCATGAAAAATTCCCAAGCCTTAAAAATAAAAGCCAGGCAACCTGATGTTTGAATTAATAAATAGTAGTTCTCTGGTGTTTAGGATGCCTGCATTCATGCTCAATGACTTCAATACAAAATGAAACATGTTGTAGTTGGCTAGGAGCCTCTTTTTGTTTTGTCAACCCTTACAATGACACAAAGAAAAGCAGTGTAAGTGAAGTGTCCTTTTTGCAAGTTTTAGAAACAGATTCACTATAAAACACCTGAACAGAATTCTCCTGATGTATTAGAGGCTCATTAAACTCTTGTCAGTCTACTGACATTTTGTACATCATTCCTGAAAACTTATAGATTAGAAGAAAGAAATCTTAAAGTTTGTGTTTTACTCAAGAACACATGAAAATTTTACAAAGGCAACCCTAAAGCAAATACAAGGCAAAATATACTTATATGATCATGATGAAACATTTTGTTTCAACATATTTGTTTCAATCCAGAGCCCCCTTTTACACGGTTGCTCTTGTATAAAACAAATATACACTGTACCTATTGACTTCCTCTAATGAAACATTGGGGGATATATTTAATTGTTCTAAAAAGTGATGGTTAGATTACATAAATAGTTTGAACTTATGCAATAAAGCAATCTTAAATGGGGGTTTTCTACATAGTAAACTCCTCCAGTTTTCAGAAGACAATCAAATTTAGAGTAGATGGGAAAAAGAGTTTTCCGTTGGAAGCACTTTTCCATTGGAAAGAATGGACAAAAGATTAATAAATGCATCACATCAATTAAAAATTGTGCATATTTAAAAATGACTGTTAAAGTGCAAAAATTCTAAAATATATAAAAAGCCGAGATTTAGCCAATTGTGCCAATAATTTGCCAGAAATAAGAATCAAATTGTTGACGACACGGAATAAATCTTGCCCTTTATTTTTTTTGTCCACACCACAAATACAGATATATGGCCGGCCTATGATTAGATGGCATTCCTATAGTTGAGAAGTAGGCACAGGTTACATAATCAGGGGTAACCCAATTCATATTGGGTTTGCATGGATATACAGTGGTGTTAAGTGGAGTCACTTCACATAGGGGCATGGTAATCAGACATCCCTCGCAATTTATGTTGTATGATTTCCTAAGAAAAATTTATGTAAATATTTTTTGTCCTCGAATATTTTAGTGTTGCTAAATAAATTGTTTTGTTTGTTTATGTCATATAATTTATTTCAGTTTTCTTGCTAATTAATCTTGTGCCTGGCTGCTCTCAGAATAAAAAAAACATTGTGCTTGAATTATTTTAACTGATAAGGTCAGGTTTAATGGCTTTGCTTCTACAGATATGCATAGATTATGCACAGAGGTCACTGGGTCTCTTGACGTCTTTGAGGTCCCACTGCATATTCTAATTTAGTCAAGTAAGATCTGAATTATTTTTTTCCAATAGGAGAGCTATGGAATTCCATATACAAACAATTTCCTCTAATGTTTTGATCTAAAATACTACATTTTACTGTAGCATGTAATTGTCCCATCTCCCTGAAAACATTTCTAGACACTTACACTTAAACAACGTTCCCCTTTGACCATTTGTGGAAGGTATGTATATAAAAGGATTTTTATAAAACTTGCTCTGTGACTTCAATAAGCTTGTTGCGAAAAAAATATATCTTTGAAATAGGAATTTTTTTTAGAGCTGAGAAAAATATTATTACCTTTCTACTTCTTGCTTTAAATAATTGCATATGTCATGTTTCCCTAGTATCCTCTAGAGGGGGTATCTTTAATTAGCCACATCACCAGTTAGCTTAGTCACATCCTGTTAGTGATACTAATTCAAAATTAGTAGTAACCTTCGGTAAGTAGAATCAATCCATCTCTTCTCTCATTCCTCACCTTCGTCTTTATCCTTGTACACAACTAGTATATTTGAATCCACATTGTATTCCTTAATTTTTGTTGACTAAGGCAGAGCATTAAGTCAAGATCTTCTCTTTTCCAAGACTAACAAATGTAGAGGAGATACCTAGCCATCAAAACCACGTAACCTGACTTCTGTAACTGGGTAGGGTAAGTAATAAAGTCTGATACAAATAAAATGGTATATATATATTGGAAGACTTGGCCTGAAGTTGTGGGAGGAACATATGGACCTTTAAAAGGGACTCCCCCCTTCCCTACTCTACTGTGATTGGTCTGACGAGCTGCAGGCTGATGAGACTGCCTGGTTCAGTACAGAACTATCTACTTCCAGTTCAAAGGTCATCAACACAAACTGCCTAGACTCCATACATACTGGTCTTGGCCTAGTGTGTCCCACGCAAGTATTTGTTTTACCTCACTCTAGTAAATAGCCGCCTCACTAGAAGCTCATGGGGCACTTCCGCGTTCAGACCAGCCACGGCTTCTATAACTGTTGTTTTTTTTAACAAAACCGTAAGTTTGGGGGGGGCGGGGCCTGATAGCCAAGCTAGCTAGACATGTTTGAAGAGAGCTCCGACAAAACCAAGCTAAATATTGGCTATTATTGGCCACAATCGTGATTATTGCAGTCCTGCACACCAATAGCTCATTGATGAACCAAGTGGGGGCTCGTGGATACCTATTTTGTATACTTCTGTCAAGATTTACCACACTCCACATATGCGGCCTAGTGTGGAAGGCGGCCTCATGGCCGGGAGAGGCGGCCGACCTCCCGTCATGGGGACCGCTTTGATCGGTGGCTCTCCAGCTGCCCTGCATCCCCCCCCTCTGGACCGGTGTGTGTTATCCCAGTCCCCCCTGAGGAAAGCCACATATCAACAGCAACAGACTACACAGCCTGAACAAAGACCACTTGCCAGGCCCAAGATGGCCACCAAACAACAACCCCTGCAGTCTCGAGAGGGTCCAGAGATCCAGAACTGGAGAGAGAGCTTTGAGGCTCGGTTCGATCGCGTCTGCCAGGAATTCTAGAGGCGCTTGGAACACAGATCCACCCGCCCTGATTTACCTGTCACAAACGAGATTGCGGCTGAAGCGTCAATTCACCGACCCGGTGTTTGTTTGTGGCCCCATATGGAGGCTAGTCCATCCTGCCAAATGTCCTGCTGGCGGACTCTCCGGGCACTGAAACACAATGCTGCACAACAGAGACTTACTTCTGGTCTTCCAGACCAAGTAGAGGTCACCCGGAGAAACCTGACTAGCTATCCTCGTTTGCCCACATGCATACGGCATTCCCCCACAGGGACAGCGCAGAAAAAACGGTGCAGAAAGCCATCTTGGTGATAGTACACCCCTCGCAGCTCAGACCTGCATGGAAGCCGGGACTCACCCCGCCAGCGGAGATATACACCACTCCATCCTCAACGAAGTTTAACAAGTCCATCAGCATACACCTCACGACAGCAAGCAAACTCAGCAGGGGGGCTGCATCAACAGCAGCAATGGATTCAGAGATATGGCACAATGACACCCCTCAAAGCCTGGAGCTGAAGCTACAGAGAATTGTGGCACTTCCGAATCACTACCCGCAGGCAACGAGCCACTCATCAAGCTCTGAGATTCCCCATGGAGGAGAGAAGAGAAATCAAATACCTCTCAGTGCACCCCTGGGGCTTCCCAAATATGGGGGTTGGCTAAGTAGGAGACTCTCTGAGGACCGTGGGATTGCTACCTAAGCTCTAAGTCCTCCATGTATTTGTTCATTTCTTTGACGCATTGTACTAGGGCATCCCTTAAGATATAGCTATCCTGATAGTCCCAGCGGAACCTCTCCCCTTGTAACCATCTAAGATTGTCTTATTATAGGTCAAGATGACTTCTTTAAAACGTGTGTCTTGCATCTAACTACCCTCTCGTCATATAGGCCTAGTTTCCACCATACTCACTCAAAAATTGATGGTTACTCCTATCTTAGCTGAAAATCCACGTGCATAATATATACTGCCTACTTCTTAACTACCCCTCTATTATGTTCCATATGCACAATGTTTTTTTCCTTGTTTTTCATATTATAAAAAAAAAGTGCAAGTTACTCTTGAGTGTCACAAGGCATAAGCGCTGTCCATACATGCCAAACCTGTTCAAGCCATAGCAGTATATCTAAGCATATTTAGCCTGTTTATTCTTATAAGGGATTGTTCTGATTTCTCAACAACTGTCATAAAGTGTATTTAATGTGCTTGCCACTGCTGTTGTGGCACGGCGAGTTATTTTGTAATATGTAATACGATGCACAACAAAATAAAGAATGAAAAAAAAAAAGTAAATTTGTTTGTTCAGCCATTTGGATATGGCAAATTTTACTAGTAACGCAAATTTAGCCTATTTCAATCGTAAATAGAATGCCTCATTCTGCTTATTGTATTTGGCAATGGTGCCTAATTCTGCTTACTGTATTTGGCAGCGATGCCTCATTCTGCTTACTGTATTTGGCCCACGCTAGGCCATATCGACTTTTATCATATGCATTTTAGTTAGTCACCCTGCAAGTTTTTCTGTCCTGGGTATAAGGCCCCTTACTGGAACATATCGACTTCTATTCTATGTCTTGGCCCCCTACATGGCTAAGTGTCGCTATTGACTGGATCAATCATGTCAAGCCCAACATGGGCCTACACATATGGTTCACAAATATAAACTAACTTGTATATACATTCACTGTATTTACATTAACTATAACCCTTTAGTCTAAGTCGCTTGTGTTTCCCCTCAATTGTTTGCAAGGTAAATATTGGTTGTCACTTACATGTTTACAACAATTTCATTAGCCCTTGTAGGAATCACATGTCTGTCAGATTCCACTATTTCGATGTAAACAGTATTACTCCTCCAGGTTGTAAAGTATTTCAGGTTGTGCCCTTAGTTGTCTCCCAGCAATTGCTGTCACCAAGTCTTTCCATTACTATTCATGCCACAGGTTAGTTGTCCTTCATTACATAATGTTGGTTATTATGTCTCTGGTTGTGTTTGTGACTTTTTTGCCACCTTCAATTTAGGCTATCTCACTATACAATGAAGTTACGCCTGACTGTCATCCAACATCACGTTTTTCTACTTTCCAACAATGCCCGTTTCCTTTCATCCTATCCAATCAGACTATACTTAAGGGTATCCAAAATATGTCTGATTTGCGACATTCAGCCCCTTTCGAGCCCCTCACTAACTCTGTCATTAAAATCACTATTTACCTGTCCTTTTACGGCTTCCTGAGGCCACTGGAATTCACCATCAACACAACGCACGTGGTTGCCTTTGAAACTCCTACCTAATTAAACATCAAGAGTCAACTGGGTCAAACCGTCCACATTCCATACTTTCCCACGAATAATATATGGTGCCGGTGAAGGTTTTCAATTCCTACCTCCTCACCGTACCGAATATCGCATCTCTTCCGCTACTGTCACTTCAACCCACCCTCCACTCCCTTTATTCGCCATACTCTTTTAGTGTAGGCCCTCTTTACTAACTGTAGACCGCAAGAGTGGTGATTGTACTTACCTACAGTGGATGCCTATTGGGAAGTATACATGTTTGTACACTTTTCTTACACTGTGTGGTGTTTTGTATTTGATAGTGTCTTCATTACCAGAGTTTTACCACTTTATTAACTGGCCTACAGAATACGTCGGTTTCGGCACACCTCAACTGACTTTTTCCTATCACAGGTTTGCTAACAACAATCTTACTTCATAACTTCATATCATAATCAATGCCCCGAACACAAATATATGTGTTCCAGGTACTCGAGGCCCTGCGCTCCCCTCTCCTAGGGGAACATATATATATATATATATATATATATCCAAGTAACCTGATTATATATGTATATGTAACCATGTAACTTTACTTCTGTAACTGGGTAGGGTAAGTAATAATGTCTGTTACTATATATATATTGTGACGAAGTGCCCTTCGCCTCTTGTGCCTGGAGAGGACTGCTTGCCCGCCTCTTGCCCTGTGACTATGGCCCCTGGTTTGTATTGCCCTTTAAAGACATGATTTGGGCATAATGGATTTGTGTTGTGCTGCTGCTGGCCCTTTAAGAACCATCTGGGGACATACTGTGGAGTTACTGGGTGGCCACCATTTCCTGTATCAGAAGCACATGGTGAGAACAATGGATGGCGGCCATTTTAACTCACAGACACTGTTTGGACTTTTCAACACGGTGCCATCTCGCCAGTATTTGGTGCACAGAGACATTGTGCAGTGGTTTTGGACTATACAGCAGGGGACACATTATACAGTGATTGTTTTTCATTTAGCCTGTATATGTTCTGTAGAATCTGCATTAAACTGTATTTTCCAAAGTACTGAACGGATCTGGGTGAATTTTGGATATGTGGTTCACCCAGATCCCCCGGTTCCAAGGATATACTGTATTGTAGCAACTCAATTATCTAGCCTGGCCCAGAGGAGGAGTTTTGTGTTGCATAAATTGTGAGTTCTGTGTGCCAGTAAATCAGTCTTGTTCCAGCATTAAGCCTTGGCTCATGTTTGGGGGAAGGGATACCTACACTCTGGGGATTGCTATAATCACTTACTCCCCAGAGGAAGCTCTTGCAATAGCTTGATTTGTTCCTGTTCCTGCTCTCTGGGGAAAGAGAGGTTCACCCACTGGAAGCTGGATCCTGGCCTTGGGTCCAGGGTGGGTGGAAACAGCAGAGACCCCGGCGCAGTTGCATCGCTGGAAGTGGGGTCTGCAGTGCTGATGGTGTCGGTTGGAGTGCTTGGAGTCCTCAGCGAGCACTAGGAGCATCGATTGGCGGAGGTACTCAGTCGGAGTGCCAGCGTTCCGTCACATTTGGTGGCAGCGGTGGGATGGCGTCCTAGTGTGAGGACCAGCAGCTCGGAGACACCGGTAACGTGTGGAGTTACGGATTTATAATTGAGGGCAACGCTAGCACTTGTGCAGCGACCCTGGCTTCAGAGGAACTCAAGGGATAGAGCTAGCTACGGGCAGCGTCCCTATCCACAGCAACATGGAAGAGGAGTTTCGCTGGAGGTTGCAGCAGCACTTGGCCCAACAGGACGGGCCTGTATCAGAGGAGTGCATACTGGACTGGAGAGATGTCACTCGGACGGAGATGTGGCACAATGCCCTGGAAAAGGTACAACGGCGGCGGGGAGAGAGCCTTCCCAGTGACGAGCAGCGGTTCCAGGTACTCGAGGCCCTGCGCTCCCCTCTCCTAGGGGAACAACCCTTGGATGAATGGTTGCTGGAACTCTGGGATTTAATTTGGAAGGAGTTGTGGCTAGATGCAGCTTTCCGGGCATTAAAGTGGTACGCCACCCAGCGCAACCCCTCGATGACTAACCACTATCTGCCCGAGGGAGAGGATTTTAATGGCCCGGGCTTACTGTGGGAGGCCTTTGAGGAGGGCGATGACTTTGGATGCCCCACAGAGTTTCGGTTCTGGGACATCCACAACATCAGGGAAACCCTGCTGGATCTTCCCCGAGCGGACGACCTGGGGCCAGACCTGAGTCATCTGGTCGCAATGGAGTGGGGGCTGGAGCAGAGCTACCGACGCCTGTTCAACTTAGCCCAATCACCGTCCCTCAGCCCAGAGGATTACCTGGACACCCTACCCTCTTCTGTCCAACCAGCCCCAGAGGTGAGCAACCTTATGGAACGGTCCTGGGAAGACCCACAGATGGCAGGTGGAGATGGAACCGAGGTCTCTCCACCTGCCCCACAGGGATGCTGGGTACCCGGCCCAGATCCCCAGCGGCAGTGTATCTCACAGGGAGAGGAGACAACCGGTCTCCCTTCCCAGCAGCAGCCTGAGTTCCAGGAGGAGGTGATGGTAGATCCCTCCCCCATACAGCAACCAGCGTCCTGGGGAGGGGAGGCAACCGGCCTCCCTCTCCTCCACCAACCAGAGGTACCTGAGGTAGTGGACCTCATAGACGTGTCCTGGGGACACACAGAGATGGCAAGCGGAGATGGGACCGAAGTCTCTCTGCCAGCCCTACAGGGATGCTGGGCAGTCAGCCCAGGTCCCCAGCGGCAGTATAATATACAGGGAGAGGAGACAACTGGTCTCTCTCCCCAGCGGCGGCCTGAGTTCCAGGAGGAGGTGATGGTCGATCCCTCCACCTTACAGCAACCAGCGTCCTGGGGAGGGGAGGCAACCGGCCTCCCTCTCCAACAGCAGCCGGAGGTGGGCGACCTCATAGACTTGTCCTGGGGACACACAGAGATGGCAAGCGGAGATGGGACCGAAGTCTCTCTGCCAGCCCTACAGGGATGCTGGGCAGTCAGCCCAGGTCCCCAGCGGCAGCATAATATACAGGGAGAGGAGACAACTGGTCTCTCTCCCCAGCGGCGGCCTGAGTTCCAGGAGGAGGTGATGGTCGATCCCTCCACCTTACAGCAACCAGCGTCCTGGGGAGTGGGGGCAACCAGCCTCCCCCTCCAACAGCAGCCAGAGATACCGGGAGAGGGGGAAGACAAACCTAACCACACTGGCGCAGATGGGACCGCGGTCTCTGTGCCAGTCCTACAGGGAGGCTGGACGGGCGGTCC